GATGAAAAATTTACAAAGAATGTTTTCTTATCCAAACCACACTGGAAACAGTATGAAATCCCAGGTTTAAGAGACAGAGGCAGAGACTGCAAATGAAACAGAGAGAATTGAAAAGAGAAAACTGAAAAGAGAAGAGAGAAGAGACAGAAAGAATATATTTTGAAAAGCCAAATAATGTTGCTGGGGTAAGAGAATGAGAACAGAGGGAAGGAGCCAATCTGTGGACTATTGGGAAATACTACTGGAGAGATTCTCATTAATAAACAGGAAAGCTCAAAGAACATGAAAATTCATTTCAGCAAGTGACACAAATATATTCTCTAAGGTATTTCTATGAAAAAAAAACCACTAAAAAAACCCCCACTAAATGTAACTTATTGTGGATAGACCAAATACACTTGAGTGTTTTATGAAGCCCCTAATATCAACTGCAGATTTGGAAGGGACCTTTGTGATAATTCAATCCAACATGCCTCTTTTGTTGTTGGTGGTGGTCCTGGGGATTGAGCTTAGGGCCTGGGTGCTCTCCCTGAGCTTTTTCTGCTCAAGACTAGCACTTTGAGCCACAACACCATTTCCAGTTTTCTGGTGGTTAATTGGAGATAAGAATCTCACAGATTTTCTTGCCTGGCCTGGCCTTTGAACCTTGATCCTCAGGTCTCAGCCTCCTGAGTAGCTGGGATTCCAGGTGTGAGCCTGGAGGCTCAACATGCCTCTTTTAAAAGATAAAGAAATTTAAGTTTAGAGGTAGTAATTAATTGTTTTCAGTCACTTATCAAAGGGACTTTATGCCAACCTCCTAATAAGCAGGGCAGAGCCCTGCCTACTATACTATGCCACCTTAAAATTGGGAGGTTGGCCTTAAACTTGTACTCTTGCCTAAGTGGAGCAGGGAGAAGAGAAATGCCAGAAAGTCCTTAAAAGCTCTTCTTTGTTAACACAAGGTGACACACCCTACTAATCAAGTCCCTCATCTTTATTTGTCCTTTATGGAATAAAACAAATTCTGTATACTAGATACATGTTAAACCTTCAGCTACTTTGAAATATAACAAAACCTTAACCATGTTTCCTGAGTCTTCAGCACCATTGAATTTGTAGCTTTATAAATATCATGGTGAACAAGAAATGCTGTCTTGTCACATTCAAGCCAAATAACAGCTGGACTTTAAAAATAAAATTTTGAAGGCATTTGCCTTTTATATTTTTAATTTCTGTTTTCCTTGCTTATGGTTTTGTCCTTTGATTTTGATGAGTGGTTAATACACATGCACAGCTGCCTCTTTTGGTGACCTTTTCTTTGCTGCTCCATGCCCAGGGCTATGAAGCAGGTCTACAAATTGCTTACTAAGTGATATTGTCATTTTCATGGCTGGCAGATATTTTTCTGGGAGGCCTGGTTGGACCAGGACCTCATCTTTTGGGCTGACTTACTTTAGTCCTTTCTGAAGATCCACAGAAGTGCACAACCCTTCAAAACATTGTTCTAAAACTGGAGAAAATTTGGAAATGGTCATGTATGGATGGAGGAGAGGAGTATGGATAGAGGAGAGGAGCTCCTGAGCTGGATGTCAGAATACACCTGGCAACTCAGCTCCCTAGGTTGCTTTCTCTCTGAATTCTCTCAAGTCCAAGGAAGTCCTGCTCTTCTTAGCACTTTTTCTCAATAATCATAGTGTCTGTCTATCTTTTTTCCTCTTCCCTCTTTTTTTTTGTGCTGGGGCTTGAAATCAGGACCTGGGCACTGTCCCTTAGCTTTCTTGCTCAAGACTAGTGCTCTAACACTTGAGTCACAGCTCTACTTCTGGCTTTTTGGTCATTAATTGGAGACAAGAGTCTCATGGGCTTATCTGCCTGGGCTGGCTTTGAACCACAATCCTCATATCTCAGCTTCTTGAGTAGCTAACATTACAAGCATGAGCCACTAGCACCCAGCTTTGTATTTCCCTTTTAATCTTCCTTATCTCTCTCTCTTTCTCTCTCTCTCCAAGAAATGTTGTCTGTTTTGTTCAACTACAAACTTAGTATAAGAGCAAATATACTTTCTCATTCTTCTGATACTTCAGTCCCTGCTTAATCTTCCTGTTGAGGGAAATATGAAGAGGCAAGTAGAGAGAGTATTATGTGTACCTGTTATCTACCCGACTTTAATACAAACTGTAACTCCAGCAGGCTTTGCAATCAGTTCCCACTTGAACAGATGCCAGGAAATAGCCTGAAGTCAGCAGAAGGCGGTTCCCCCGTCCCAGCAGCCCTCACAAAGGCATGGCATTGCTCTCCGTATTAGAGCAGGTAACTTGACGCCATTCATGAACTCACAGTCCCCCAAAGCACAGGAGGTCTCAATGGCAACTCTGGGCAAGCTTCTGAAGGGAGGTTTTCACACGCTCCCTAAGCTCGTGGGCCACTACAGCCCTTCTATGGTTACACTCACCAGGCCCTGCTGCTATGTGTGATGGAGTAACATGAGAGCTGCTGTATGGCGTGGCCTGCTATATTTAGGGGAAAGGAAATGGCCATACTGAGGAAGGTCACAAGGAGTTTGTTAAAAAAAAAAAAAAGAGATGGTACCACCTATTTTTCTGTATATACAAGGGAGCAGTAGGCAGCTGAAATTTTAGGCTGGCATCAAATCTCAGTTCTAGCCTTATTATGTGGTCCATAGTAAGTTATTTAATGACTTTCAGTCTGAATTTTCTTACCTGTTAAATGGAAAAAAAATCTTCACATAGTATATGAGAAAATACCTGTAAAAATACTTAACTCATTTTCTATGGGTGCTTGATAAATGTTTCTTGAGTTAACAGTAACTAGGAATCTAGACAACGTAAGTTTGGAATGGAATTTCTAGAGATCTGAATTTCTTAACATTCTAAAATATGATTCTCTATAATTTTTAATGTTCTCTTTTTATAATGCTTAATAACTCCAGAATAGTCATTTATCAAGTATATATACCATCAACCTGATTATCAGCATTATTGAGAGGCAACTGACTATATTTATAACCAACACACAATTAAGAAACCAAATTAGAGTTTGAAACTCCTATTTCCTGCATGAAGAACAGGAAATTCTCTCTCTCTCTCTCTCTCTCCCCACCCTCCCTTTCTCCTTTAACCTTATTATATTAAAATAACTCCTTGCTAAACTTTAAAAGGGAAACCAAATTAAAAAGTGTAAATGACAAATTTAGAAAAATCTGCTAGATCAAAAGTTAAGTACTAGACCCTTATAACTCATATTCTATAGCCAAATGGATTAGATACTCCAAAGTGATAGTATTATAGAAGGTCAAATATTTAGGTATTTCATAGTACAATCTTCCAACAAAATTGAGATAGGCCGGATTTGAAATTCTTCATCACAGACTTTCAAGCCAACCACAACATCGGTGTTGCAGTCAGCTAACTCTAAGTGTCCCATTATTTGGGCTCCCTAGACAGAGGAATCATAACCCTTGCTAATGGAAAAGCTGCACTTCCAGTGCCTTGTGAAAATGCCAGCATGCTCTTGCTACACATTCTTCAAAGAAGACAGCAACTATAGCTTTGCTTGGCATTCTACTATCTTTCCTTCCTTAATTACCTTCCTTTTTCATTTTCTCTCTTTCTCTTTCTAGCCTCTCTGTCTCTTTTTCAAACACACACACACACACACACACACACACACACAGGCATATACTAATCAAAATGTGTTTTGTCCTCTTCTCACCAGAAAAACATCAAACATTAGTCTTTCTCACTGATATGAAAAACCTGCCTTCTGGAAATCTTCCAAGTGTTTCCTGGGCCTGCTACCACCTATCCTTTACAGTTTATGCGAGGGCCTTCTGAGCTGGAAGAGCCCAGTTCACATTCTGCTATGAAGAAATGTCTTTATGGTTTTTCAAGGGTCCTGCCAATCAAAGGGATACTAGTCAGAATCTTCCCCTCAAGCTAAAAAAGGACTGTTTGCTGGGGCCTGAGATGGGTGAAGTATCACATTACTCTAAAGAGAACAAATTAATCTTCCCTGACTGGTGGGACAGATTCTGCCAAAGAAACAGCTAACGGGAAAACCAGTCCCTACTCTGTGATGACACAGTAAATAACCAGGCAACATTACTACCAAAGTGCTGACCTAACCCATAAATCGTACGGGCCCTCTGGGGAGCAATTTCTGCTGATGTGCTGCTTGTGCATTTAAGACAAACAAACAAAAAAGGAAGAGGAGCGAGCAAGCATCGACAGTGCTGGAGGTAAACATCCTGAGAGCAAGGCTGTTCTTTCCACTCAGATGTTGAAGGGGGTCAGTCGTGGTTAGTGCCCGGACCGGGTCCGAGCCTCTCCTGATCAACTAGAAAAATTATGTCAAGTCTGCTATAAACTGTCATTTAATCTTTAGAATGATTTGATTATACCTAACAATCACTTGATTTAGAATTAAACAACACTAAAAAAATACAATCCTGCATGATATGCTTTTTTTTTCTTTTTCATAACAAAGAAGTAATGAGTAGATAAAAAATAGAATTCTGCTGTTTATTGGACTGTGGAGGGTTATATTATTTTAAACTTTAAAATATATTATTTTAAACATTAGCTGGCGCTGGGGGCTCATACCTGTAATCCTAGCTACTGAGGAGGCTGAGATCTGAGGATCGTGGTTCAAAGCCAGCCCGGGCAGGAAAGTCCGTGATACTCTTATCTTCAATAAACCACCAGAAAACTGGAAGTGGTGCTGTAGCTCAAGTGGTAGAACGCTAGCCTTGAGCTGAAGAGCTGAGGGACAGCGCCCAGGCTCAGAGTTCAAGCCCCACGACCGACCAAAAAAAACCAAAAAACAAAAACGAAAAAAAGTACCAACATTTCCTGTGTTTTGCCTAGAAAACCCAGTTCATGACACCCAAACAAGGCCATCATGGTATCTGGCATCTAAGTCAGGTATCCAGCATTTAATTCAGATATCCCTTTGGAATACACAGAGAAGCAGAAAAGAACGAGAGAAAAGACACTCACCCTCTGCATCTTCTGGCCGAGTAAGGTCGATGACTCCTGGGCCCAGCTTTCCATCTTCGCTTGACTTTCCTGTTAACTGAGGCCCCAAATTCTCAAAGCGTGTTCTTTCCTAGGGGAAGAATAACCAGAGGCTTAATCAAAATTCCAAAGCAGCTACTTTTGTCTTCTAGTTTCTGTCTTACTTCATGGGCAAAACCTGAATTTGCAGACTTTCTTTCCTTTCCTTCCTTAAAACCTTAATGCAGACTTTCTTCTTTCCTTCCTTCCTTCCTTCCTTCCTTCCTTCCTTTATTCCTTCCTTCCTTTCTTTATTTTCATTGCTTGCTTATCCTCCCTCCCTCCCTCCCTCCCTTCCTCCCTTCCTCCTTTCCTTTCCTCCCTTCCTCCTTTCCTTCCTTCCTTCCTTCCTTCCTTTCTTTCTTTCTTTCTTTCTTTCTTTCTTTCTTTCTTTCTTTCTTTCTTTCTTCCTTTCTTTCTTTTCTTTGCTTGCTTATCCTCCCTCCCTCCCTCCCTCCCTTCCTTCCTTCCTTCCTTCCTTCCTTCCTGCCTTCCTTCTTTCCTGCCTTCCTTCCTTCCTTTCTTCCTTCCTTCCTTTCTTCCTTCCTTCCTTTCTTCCTTCCTTCCTTCCTTCCTTCCTTCCTTCCTTCCTTCCTTCCTTCCTTCCTTCCTCTTTAGCCACAGCAACAGTTTCAGTGTTTTGGTAGTTAATTGGAGAAAAGAGTGTCATGAATTTTTCTGCTGGACTCTCGTGAACTTTTCTGCCTGGGCAGGCTTTGAACTGTGATTCTCAGATCTCAGGCTCCTCCTCAGCTAGAATTACAGGCATGAGCCACCAGATCCTAGCTGCAGACATCATTTGAAGAAAACATATGGGGATATTCTGCTAAGGCCTGAATGTGGCACTTACTCAGTGCTGACAGCATGGAGAACACAGTACCTGTAAGGAAAGGAAATGTGTGGAGGGAACCCGCCAGAGTGGCTCTGCAGACCTCTCCTCTGTTGGATTTGCTCCAGTAATCTATAAAGAAAGTTGAACCAAAAATGCAAAAACTTGAAGGAGTAGTTCCTGTTCAAATATACTGCTAAATTTATGGAAGAGGAAATTTTACATTTACAGATCAGAGCTTGTATTGGTATTCCTGGGAAAATAGGAATTCAAATTTTATGCACCAGGATGTCAAGAACAAATAATATTTCAAGCGAGTAGACTAGATAATAGCATCACTGCTACTGTTTTGCCCACTGGTTTTAACTGTGTCTTTCTGGAATCTGAAAAGGAGGACATCACTTCTAGCCAGCCCAGGAGCTAGGAAAGTTAAAATACCCTGCTGCTTTAGGAGGGAAACCCAAAGCAGTTTGCCTGTTCACCAGACCTTCTAGAAGCAGGCATTGGAGGCTCTGCTGAACAGGGCTCTGCTGCTGTCTGGATCCATAGCAGAGGGCTCACTGACCATCGTTAATATGGTGTTCTTGTCTGCAGGAACACAGCACGTGTCCCCCTCTCGCCTGCTTGTTACTCTCCAGACTCAAACTTGGCTTTGTGTGATGCTTATGAATGAATGAAACCTTGTTGTTCATTACTATGAAACAATATTAAATGTCATGTCAGCTTGAATTTACAGACATGAAATAGCAGCTTCCAGCTCCGGGAATGGCTTCTGCATGTTATACTTAATGCATAATGCAGCAGCGGAGTGCTGATTGCTGTGCAGTCTATTGTTCAATGACCTAGTTCTGTACTGAGCACGTTCAGCATTAGATAGAAGCACTCTGAGTGTTCTCTTCTGTAAGATGTTTAGAAACTTGGAAATATTCTTAAGGAGCAACATACAATTACTTGATAGAGACTCTGCCTCATTTGTACAGCCGCACTACATTTGTGCTTTCTAATATGATTATTTCTTTGAATATCATTATATTTCTATAATTAATTCCCTTCAGTCAAATTGGGCAGGAAGTCCTCCAGTTTCCCTTCATCCTGGAATATGTTGAAGTCTGCGTTGGAGGAAAATGCAGTATAAACCTCGCTTTAATCTCGCACCATTTCTATGAAAGATCTGCCACAAAAATTATAACCATGAATTTCTCTAACTGGGTAATACTAACTCGTTTCAGTAGCAATATGTTGGGAAACCTCTGAAATACGACACTTATAAAAGACAGGCTGAAAATAAAAACCAAATTAAGTATGGCTCCCTAATATCTTCTTCTATGAAAACACTGCCGTACAAGAACAAATTAACCCAGATGCAGGACACACAAAAAAGCAACCACAAGCCTCGTGGGAGTTTCACACATTGTCAGGGAAAGGACAGCTGCTTTTAATCAGCCAATTTCTATCTGTGAGTAGCACTTTGGGTTGTCATGATGTAAAGAAAAGGAATTAAAGTGAAGATGAGTAGTAGCAGGGAAAGCAACATATTCAACCTTTGTTTTTATTACATTGTTTCCCATTTCAAATATTTGCATGTGAATGCTTTCCCTGCGTTAAATGCAAAAGGGAGCTCTGATATGACACCTGCAATCCTCTTACAAGAACAACCTGCAACTGTATTTTCATGGTGGGGGGAGGCAACTTTCTGTGAAAATCAACAGACTATGCCATCTATCAATATGCAGATTTCAAGTATCTTTCTAGTCATTCATTCTCTTTGATTTTACTGGAAAAAATAGTCTCAGTAAAAATAAAAATAAATAAATAAATAAATGAATAAAGTTCCTGAAAGGATATCAATATTTTGACAAGGAAATAGAAGAGGGAAAATTAGATGCCATGGTTTGTAAAAATCCTAAGACAACAAAGCTTACAAGATGATAATATCTTTTCCCTTATAAAAATGAAGTGCACTCACAATTCAGGAGTATCAGCTTGTTTTTAATCATAACAAAAACCACTCAGAGCATTCAACAGCACATTCATGTCTTTGAAGTCATACATTTTTTTACTTCATTGAAAAAAAATCCTCTGCAAAGATACTTTCCCTATAAAATATCAATATTTTGATAGAATCGAAGACAAGGAAGAATATCTCATGAAATACTTGTTAAGTAGGCAAAAATAAATCAATGATAAAAATTATTTGGGGCAGTAGGTTGCATCTTATATTTGAGAATATTAAGCACTGTGTTTGAGATTAAAGAGGGACCCGGAAAAGCCATGCCCTTTCATATAAATTTCTACCTAGTCTCCCAGAAGATTTCCTTCTTTCCTTCAAAGAATAGTTCGGAATATTTATTTGTCAGCCACATAACCATAAGATAAGAGACTGATATCTACAGGTTAGGTCTGGGCAGCTGAGTTAAGCAAAGATTTTACAGTGAGATTGAACATGACCCAAGGAACTACAGAATGTGGACATGGGCACAAAGAAGAATGAAAATATATAAACTCCTGGCCATAAAATGCCAAGAGGTATGCCCCGGTGTGCAGCAAATACAGACAGTATGTGGCAAGCCCTTAAGTTCCAAACTCCTCACATACTTGAACTAGCCCTTCACAATGCAGGTAGAATATTTTATAGATTATATGAGTAAAACACCTTACTGCTAATTTAATCCTACCCCCCTGGAAAATACCTTTCCTTATGTTGACAGAGGAATGTGTGTTTTCCATGCAGCAATGGGACCAGATACTTACTGTGCACTGTCAGTCACAAACATACAGGCAACATAAAAGTTATTGAAAAAAAATTAAAGTCAGCTCTGCTGTGTTGTAGGATGGTGGGCTCTCTAAGTGCTTTGAAATTATGATGTATGAGGTAGATGTTGCATATTAAATAAAGATATTTAAATGATAAAGCCCCCTTTAGTGAGAGCTGATGAATGTTAAATGTTACAAGCCACAAGATGGTAGCATCCATCATCTTCACATATTATCACAGTCAATGACGGGCAGCCTCACTGATGACAGATAGACTGCTGCATTATTATCCCTTATTTCCAGAGTCACTGAACAAACCATTCAACTCCTCCAGCATTATTTTTAACTTTGCATTAAATTAGCAACTTTTCCTTTTCATCCCTGGCAAGACTGATCAATTACATCTTTGCATCAGTGGAGGGGGGAGAGAGGGAGGGAGAGGGAAAGAGAGAGTGAGAGAGGCAGAGAGAGAGAGAGACAGAGAGACAGAGAAAGAGAGAATATGAATTTGGAGTAACTAAAAGACCAGAGGTTTGTTTTCATCTAGGGAAAAAAAATCAACTTCCTCTTGCTGGCAACAAATGTAAAATTGTGATCTTGGGAAAGAACAGCAATGAAACAGTAAGCACACAATAATGGCTTTTCTTTGCACTTAGATAAAAGCTGAATTTTTGATGTGCACAGTATATTTTAATAAAATTTTATATACTATGTTTTATACACTTATTGGCTATTCCATAATAATGTGTGTGCTAACAGTAAAATTGCTCTTAAATTTATGTGCGTTATTTATACGTTCCCACGTAACAATGCTTTTTGTTGTAAAAAATATTCTGTTTATTAATGTAACTTTACAACCACTGCATCCAAGATCCGTGGTAAATTAATGACATTTTTATTATTTTATAGTGTCATTAAATTTTTACTGATCACTCCATCAAACAGAGGCAGTAAAGGCCATAATGTAAACTGGGACACTTAGATCAGGCAGCAGGAAGACATTCCATATAGTCTGAAGAAAACTGCTAGCCATAAATGATATTTATACCATCTTTAAGCATGTGAGAATACTTGGATAAGTTTGGCAAAACTGTTTCAGTAGTAGAGTGGATTGTGTACTTAAATAACAGTTTGCTTGCCAGTGAGACAAGCCTTTTTCAAACCCTATGCAAGATGACTGATCATATTCATTCTCTTCAAAAAAAACCCCCATGAAATGTAATGATATACTAGGCACCTTTCCTCTGGGTTGCCAAGACCTAACTAGCCCACCCTGTGCACAGGCCTTCCCAACAAAAGTGGCACATGCTGAGAGAAATCTTTTGTTTGTTGCCTTAACAAACAAATTGATTCCATTTTAAGTAGGCATGCCTAGGCAGTGATGTGATATATTTTATTCCAATGGTCTGAATGAGAGGCACTTTACTACCCTTTATTTCAAAGCTCATTTCTAAACAATGTCTGAATAT